ACTCGTGTAGCTTTAGTCTGCCCTGATACAACGCCTGCATTGCCACAGTCTAGTACTGAAACGGCACAGGCAATACCAGAAGGACAGAATTCTACACCTGCATCAACTGTAGGCCAGTGTGTGAAACACATCAAGCCTAAAAGGAAACGTTCAAGACGTCATAAGACCTCGAAGGCGTCATCAAGGAAAGGGGATGAATGCCAGGCGTGCAGCATCACAGTTTCTAAAACTGATTCAGCGTTTGAATGTAATTTTTGCAAACGATGGGTGCACTGCCGTTGTGACAAAGAAGTACCGAAAGCATACTATGAGTTTATGAGAAATAACCCATGCCCATGGTTTTGGTACGTGTGTCCACTTTGTCGCCCTGGCATAGTCCCACAAAGCGTGTCTGCGGATAGCAGAAATAACATGCTCTTGTGCCCCAACACAGTATCATGCAGCTCCCCCCTGCTAAACTCGCACTGCCGAAACTGGTCAAAGACTTAAAGAAGGACACACCAGCCCTACTGACTGGAAATGCCAATTCTCACAAGGTGAAGATTAGCAAGGTTCCATCCACATCAGGGGAGGGCAAAATTACAAAGGCACCACTTGCATCCACTAGCAAGCCTGGCAACACAAAAAAGGCTGTCCAGGTACCGACGAAGCCTAATGTTGCTAATGATGCAAAGGACTGCAAGAAGCCGAAGGCAAAACCTAAGTCTGAGGGTAGTCGGTCTAACTCTCTCATCCTCTTTAACGTACCTGTGAGCACGGATAGCTTGCTCGAACAACGGGCCCTGTTTGATCAGGAACAGTGGTCCAACCTGTGTGGCAAACTAGGTCTGAACATTAGTTCAGCAAAACTGTGCAGACTGTACAGGGGTGTCCACACGCCTCAGGGTAAGCCACCCCCATTACGGGTTACACTGGACTCTGCCGAAGAGGCCGAAAAAGTACTGTTAATGGCTCAGGTACTAGCCCTGGACAGAAGTTCTAACATAAGAGCGCGGCAAGATAGACCATGGGCCGTCAGAAATATGGCGAGGGAGTCACCGGAACTGATGCCTTCCACCTCTATGGTGGTACACGGTGTTCCGGAGCTGGAAACCGGCACTGCTTGTGAAAAACACATGCACGACGTACAACAATGGAGATGGCTGTCATCTCAGATGGCCCCTGGCGCTTCTGGAGCCATCTCCATTTTCCGACTACCTCGTCCCGCTCATCTAACATTGATTAACTCTCCAAAGCTGCTGTGTGTCACATTCAACTCCCCGGAGCAGTTGTCCATATCACTTCAACGGTGGTATGAGACCAAGGGAAAAATTGGAGGACACATCCGATGCTGTGAAAGCAGACCCAGAAATATAAGGAGGCAGCAAACTGAGGCTTTAATACGACCCCAAGCTTCGGTGACACTAGAGCGATGCAGCTCTGAGAATAATAGTCTGTGTCTCCCAAGTGTCCTGCCTAAATCCATTGAAAAAAACTACAACGGGCCGGTTCTATCGGAATCGGCCAACTAGTTCCAACATCAAGTCCCCCACCAGCAGACGGTTTCACGTCAACTACCCCACAACACTCTGAGGTTGTTAGACTCACTGTCAGTTGCCTATATAGCAATGTGAGGGGGCTGAGAGGGAAAGTAGGTGAACTCCGAAATCTCCAAGCACACCTTCAACTGAAAATAATCATTCTTACTGAAACGTGGCTAAACCCCACTATCGCCGACAATGAAATCAGTATAGGTGATATGGTACTGGTCAGGAGAGACAGGGATAATAAGGAAGGAGGGGGAGTTGCTATATACTTTGATAGGCAACTTAAATGTGTGCGCGCAACGGACCCACCACTTATCGAACTCCCAGACTCCATATGGTGTCATTTCACCGTAGGCCACACCAAGCACTTACTGGGTGGCATCTACCGATCTCCCACCTGTGGGGCAGAGCACAATCAGCTACTGCTCAGCACTATCACAGGAATACGAGATTTGGGCTACGACCAAATCACCATAGCTGGAGATTTCAATGCTCCATCACTGAACCTTGGCTCCGGGTGTGCTAAGGGAAAATTTGGCCGAAACCTACTGCAAACTATTCGAAACACGGGACTGACTGAGAATGTTGGAGACGACACTAGGTGGGGCCCTAGTGGAAAGTCATCAAAACTAGATTATATTCTAACTAGTGACCAGCTACTCGTCGAAAAGGTCCAGATCATGACTCCTCTGGGAAGCAGTGACCATGCAGTCATAGGTTTCGATCTTGTCCTCCGTGAGCGTTTGCAATGGGATGTTACGCGACCATGTCTGTGCTACAGCAAGGCTGACTATGCTGAAATGCGGAGGCTCTTGTCCGACGCAGACTGGCCCTTAGCATGGGACGACCTATCTGTGGATGAACACTGGGAAGTGGTAAAAAAGATTATCCATGCAGCAATCTCGGATACCGTCCCTTTAGTCACAACACAGCCTAAGAGAAAGACGTCATGGTTGAAGAGAGGCACGCAACGTATTCTGCAAGCAAAGCGGAGGGCTTGGTTTACGTGGCGTGTATCTAAGAGTCAGACCGACCATGATGCATACCTCGAACTCAGGAACCGGTGTAATGCAAGAGTTAGGAGGGACAGAAGGTCATTCCAGGCTAACCTTGCTAAAAAACTCCTATCAAACCCTAAAAACTTGTACCGATTCATGTCGGAAAGAAAACCGACAAACCAAGGGGCATGCGCCTTAGTAGGCCCAAACGGTCAATATCTCACTAGTCTGGAGATGGCTGAAACATTCAGTTCAGCCTTCGCTAAACAGCTAAACAGCAATGTGGATATTACAGTTACGGACCAAAATGGTGGCACCACTATTTCAGAGGAGGAAGACCTAGCGACTACTCCCCAAATAAACCCCGCAATAGTACTAAGGAAGCTACAGCGACTCATACCTGGGAAGTCCCCAGGTTGTGATGACATCAGGCCATCTGTTCTGAAACAGTGCGCCGAGGCTCTCTGTAGACCCCTGTGCGACTTGTTCCAACACTCAATGGATTCGGGGACCCTGCCAAGGGAGTGGAAAAGAGCCATCCTTTCTCCAATCTTCAAGGGTGGGGACAGGCAAAACGCTGCTAGCTATAGACCAGTAGCTCTACTCCCAGTGGTATCAAAAGTACTGGAAAGTATTATTGACGACCACATCAGGGAATATTTCGATAGGACTAATATACTGCATGAAGCCCAACATGGTTTCAGAAAAGGCAGATCCTGCGTCACTAACCTACTGTCAGCTTGGGACGACTGGACATCATGCTGGGACTTGAACGTACCAGTCCATGTGGTCTTCCTAGACTTTGAGAAGGCATTTGACACTGTTCACCATGACCTTCTCCTACATAAAATAAGACAGGCAGGCATAGGTGAGCCACTTCTGTCATGGTTGAAGGACTACCTAGCCGACAGGCAATTTTGCACTAAGGTTAACCGAGTCCGATCATCTTGGCACAGATCGTCATCAGGAGTGTCGCAGGGTTCTATCCTAGGACCACTGATGTTTTTGATTTTCATCAATGATCTACCACGCCGTCTGAGCTGCCCGACTCTCCTGTACGCTGACGACGTAAAAATATGGAGGGCGATAAAGTGTCCGGAGGACTCAGATAGGCTACAGGAAGACCTAAACCTTCTGGAAGACTGGGCGGTGGCCAGTGGCATGACTTTCAACTTGAAAAAGTGCAAAGTAGTGAAGTTGCGCACCTGTAGACTGCAGAATGCAAGTTACACCCTGTGCAATGAAAGCTTGTCCTGCACAACGTCGGAACGCGACTTAGGTCTAGTTCTAACGGAAAAAATGGACACAAGCGTAAATTACACAGGGGATGTAGCGAGGGCATATGCGGTCATACACTTTACGCATAGACAGTTAGGTGCACTCACTCCTGAGCTCTTTCTAATGTTGTACAAAACATACGTCAGGCCACACCTTGAGGTGCATAATATTATTGCACCCCCAATGCTGAGAAGAGATGCCAACCTCTTGGAAAGAGTCCAACGACGGGCAACAAAAGGAGTGGTTGGTCTCCGAAACAAACCATATGATGAAAGGCTGAAGAAATTAGGCCTGTTCACACTTAGTTACCGTCGGCTTAGGGGGGATTTGATTACTGCCTACAAAATAACAAATGACCAGAATCACCCAAACAAAGGTGTTCTGCCATTGAGTAGGTATAGGCTTCCACGTGGAAATCCCAGAAGGATAGCTCACCAGAGGGCAAGGACCCGGGTGCGCTCCCACTTCTTTTCACTGCGGGTTTGTCGTCCCTGGAATTCCTTACCGGCAGATGTAGCTATGGCACCGTCTTTGGACGCCTTTAAGCGAAGGCTGGACAACCATGCAGCGATACAAGGACTGCATCCAAATGGCCTATCTCCTTAAAATCGCATTTACCAATCAGGGTAGATAATTAAACTCGTCATTTTACTTCTTTACATTCTCTCCCGTCTTACTCTCCTGACAACTTATTAATATTATAATTACTATTATTATTATTACTATTACCGATATATATATTATTCTTCAAACTTCATGAGCTGACTGTTGTTACGTTTCCTATTTTCGTTTCTGTCTCTTAGTCTGAATAGCTTCACTAATTATATCTATTATTATTACTATTATTATTATTATTATTACTATCTCTTTTCTCTTGTCGACAATACCGAAGGACTAACTGGCGAAAGGATCAACTCCAATCACAGTAGTAACAGTCTTAACATACCTCATACTACAAACCACATATAATTAATCCCAGCACTACTCCCTTTGGAGTCAACCAAAGCTACGACAGTCGAGTGGCGGGACAAGCTACGCAGAAGTTTACCGAAGATCAAGAACCTATACCTCACAATCAAGAGGCGAGCACAAAGAAATCAAATTGGTTTATACTAGCTCGTAAAAACGATATTGGATATTGGACTGTAATTACCGGGGCTTTTGACATTGTCGCTACTAATTCTCATGTGATCGTTCGATGACTAGTCTTGTGAAAATTCCCTATTCCTATTTGAGAGGGAAAATCACATCACTCTCCACAAAGTTCCAAGTCAAACCTACTATACTCAATGTACTTAAAAAACCCAAGGCAGTCGAATCTCTAGGTTCAATTCGCATACCTCCTTCGGTATCACAGTTTTCTTTGAAGTACTTTATCATTACCTTTAAATAATCGAATTTTTTAGAAATGCATACATACCACTCTCTCGAAGAACGCTTGTACGCGAACTCTTGCAGGATAGTAGTATATTGCTGCAGTCTGAAAGGAAAGCTTTCGAAAAGCTAGCTGTTTTTCTCGATAAAAAGCTTGAAAGTCAGTTTCAGATTCTTCAAAGTGAATTTTCGGTATGTCCTGTTTTTCATTAGCATGGCTGCTATCATAAAAGTTGTAGTGGTATTGTTAGTAATTGCATCTGTGTAATGTGATGTTGGTTTCGATATTGCAATCTAATTTTAATTTACTTCATATCTTCCTTCTGTAGGTTTGCAGTAAATCATAGTATATCTCATGTGTCCGAGCTTCTTATAAAATAAATCGAGAATAACGCAAGTTCAGTATGAATTAGAAACAATTCACAAAATACTTGTGTCTACAAAATATGACTTACATTTGTATAAAACTGAACAGTCGTTTAGAAATAGTGTTCTTATAAGAAAAAATATTGGTTTATATTATAGGCAGGACCAGTATTCTTTAGAGCAGAGTTAGCTGTTCCTGATGAGTTATGAGGGCCTACTTGGAATTCTGCGAACTCAATTTCCCAGTAGTTCAAATTATCAGGTCTAGTGATTGTGATTAGTTTTTTGTTCTTATATCCTTCCTTTCGACGGACCATGAAGTTGTACTAAATCTGATCGGTGTTTCTATGAACAGTCCAGGACTCGCTATTGAAACACCGGAGGTACTGTGTTACACGTACCAAGGCGTGTTGAAAATCGTAGATGGTGTACGTTGTACGAATTTAAAAAAAGGTTAACTAAGTGTTCTGTGATTTGACTTACCGCTATCCAACCCCATGCAGGTTGATGTTTCCCTTAATACTTAGTTATGATTTACAGCATTGATCGTCGTTCATTTGGAGATAGTAATTTACATACCAGTCATAAGAAGCTTTTGGTGGTACCACTCCTGGAGTCTCAGCTAGACAGTTGGAGACTATGTTGAGATTGTTCAAACTATCAGAGATCACACAAGAAGTCTTTAGGAGGGATTTTAAAAGAGACTCGATGTCTGCAACATGGCCTTTCTGTACACTTCCAAACACGGGCCATGTGACGTTACATGTGCTAATCATTCAGCCGTCCCACTATATTGGGACAGCAGTTTCATCAATAGGCCTGCAAATCTATCATTGAAAATGTCTACATATAATATTTTGCATCATGTATATCAATTACCTCATCTCCGGCTTTGCCACATAAACTGCTGTCCACCCCTTCTTCGAGATTTTGTGGCTGCTATTGATAACAAAATCATAAACATATATTCTCAAGAAGTTGCATTAACCCTAGTAAAATGTATCACCGCCAAAATATTCATCTCAATGAAAGACATGGAGCATAGCGTTTGTATTGAAAAATCCACCGCACAAAATAGTCTTATGTAAACATTTATCTATGATTGAAACAAGCAACAACTGTGAAATGTCAAATTTATCTGTCTTTTACAAATTTTCCTTGCATTTCAATATGAGTAAATCTAGACATTCATAAATGTAATAATTCTGCTACAATACCTCCAGTTTATTTGCTAATATATGCTTCGATGAATATTATTCACTTAATAATAGCATTAACTGATTATCACTCACCAGTCATAGGTCATGTATCTGCTGAAATTAATCCTTATTTGTTGTAACAAAGTTCATGTATGTATTTAACCTTAAAAGGAAAATGTGTGAGTAACAGTGTGTATGATTACCGCTACAACAGTAGTTTTCTTACTAATTGATCAATGCTCTAGACATACTGTAGATTGTCGTAATTAGCATCTCTTATTACCCCTATCTACGTTTGAGATACAGTTGATTACACTTAAGTACTTGTTTAGTGGAACTCCACTGCAGTCTATTAGACATGATTTTGAAAGAGAATCTACATTAGAGATTCACTTTATTTATTCCATCATAATTTTTATCACCTTTGATTAACTTTTATTTTCTTTTTTGTCTTCTCAAAAAGATCCTCTCCCAACCCACTGATATTGTGAGTTACTTTGAAGAAACTACTTCATTATCCCTTGATGAACCTAACAATCCCAACGAACTTGATCGGGAATTCTGGTTCCTCCGGCGTCTGTCAGATATTGCCCCAGTAGCTGGTTTCATTGAAGTACCACAAGAGCAATTACAACAGGCTTGTAATTCACTCAAATCAAAAAATCATGGCCTAATAGTAAGTTTGTGTGTATCAGACTTTTTGATATATCAAATTTATTCCCAGTATTTGAATAGGTTTAATATACTTGTTTTCTTATTGTTTATAAACTGCTGGCGCTCTAAAAATTATTACTAGTTGTTATCCAAAATAAGGACTATCGGAGTAAATAATTGTCTTCTGTAGGTTTTTCCTGAAGCCATATAGTTACGAGTTCATGGGCATTATCATAGTAGTAGTTTGAGAAAAGAGTTATTTAAAGGAAGTGTTTGTTTGTCAGCATTTTCATAATAAGTGTTTTTTTTTCAGACTTCTTCAAGTTATACAATTAAGCATAGTTTAAAAAAAATAGTTGTAAGCTGTGTGTAATACGCAGTCATAGGTCTTCTGTAAAAAATAAGCATCAATGAAGAAACTGATAGAAATCAGGGAGGATCGGGCTACAATTTTCGTCAACTTTTGATATTCCAACAGTAGAAACCAATGAATTCAGACTGTTTCTAGTTAACAACAATCCTGGTGCTGATCCACTCATTTGACTGGAATAAAGCCGTTCACATTTCCTGTGATAGTGTACAATCTTCCCTCTGCTCTATTGTTCAATTTCCCTCTTTATTACCTTTATTCAATCCCTCTTATATCACACCCTCTTATTATAGCTTTTAGAATCTCTACCTTAGAGTAAGCTACAGGTGAGCTTTAAGTTTTTATTCTAGTAAGTTATCTATAGTATGGGTCTGTCGTCATGATAACCACTCCCCCAGTGTGCTCGTGATTGTCGTCTACGTAGCCGAAGTAGATTACTGCCTCTCTAGTTGATAATTTCCATAGTCCATACTCATTCCATCTGCTCTCGCAGATTCCCAGCAGTTCAATACCATATCTTCTCAACCAGCCTCGTACATTGCATGAATATTCCACGTCTGAATTCTTATTCTTGCTTCCATCTAGAGAAGACACACCGGCTGGCTGACTGGCTTCCCGAAGGCTTTCACCAGCCCACTGTGTCATTTCGCCTCTCGCATTCTAGCGAAAAGTAAGTTTATTTTTCATACTTTTTGTATTTGTAATATTTTCCTTGTGCGTTGAAGTTTCCGTAGCAGTTAAATTGATTTTCTAGGGGTTAGGTCGCTAGCCCCATGCCCAACCTTCCCTCTTTCCCCAGGCTTACAATCGGCTAGAGAAGCAGCGTGTTATTAAACTAGGCGAGGTTGCAGACGTTTATCAAAAGCTGCCTTCGCTAACTCCATACTGAAGATCAAATGGCCAGCCATAAAGAATTGGCAACGAACTAACCAAGAACCCTATCGTTGAACAAATATGCAGGAGAAAGTGGAGATGAATTGGTCACACGCTGAGGAGGCTGTGGAATGACATCGCGCGCAACGCAGGTCATTGCTCCATTGGAACCCGAATAGGAAATTACAAGTGGATCGTCTTAGGATAACATAGAGGAGATCGTGTGGCGAGTAGGAGATGAGAGACTATGGACAATGGTAGGCTCAGCTAAAGAGGACAACAGGAAATAGAACGAAGTAGAGATGTGTTGTTGAAGCCTTATGTTTCACTTGGAATCCAATAGATCTGTCAAATAAAAATCGATGATGCTTGGTTGCATCGTTGTATTTTTAAAATAGTTACTGTACACCTGGTGAGAATGAAATCGTTGAGAAGATATCTATGCCGAGCCCTTTTTTACTTTGAAACGTAGTCAAGTTTTTAATACATATTCAGATAATGGAATACTTCTTTTTGTCGATTCTTTTGCTCTATTTTTAATTATGTCTTGAAGTTATGCTGAAAATCAGATAAAAAAACATAACTCTTTTAAAGTAGCTAGTAAATTTCATTAGAAACTTGCAAATAAACCAGGTAAGGTCTCATCATTAAGTTAATCGTTTGAGAGTTTTTCACTTGAAGTGCAGTAACACAAACAGGACTATTGAACATTGTGTACTCTTCAATTATCCCTATCAGTATCTCAGGCTACATATTGTTGTAAATTTTCATTATTAGTCTCACAAAGCCTCTTTATTACTTCTTGTATTTTACGCCTACTTCAATGGTTAACAGTCTATGACACAAAAGCTCACATTCAAGTCAATCATCAAATGTTCCTAAAACTATCATTTTAAAATAAGCACATTAACATTTTCTGTTGTTTCATGTAATACTAGGCTTATGTAGATCCAAATGATTACGATGTACTTCGTTTCTGGATTCGTGGATTCCATCCAGATTTCAATGCCAGTCCTGCATGTTCTACTGTCTTTAACTCAAAAATACCTATTTCGAATAGGGAGAACAAGTTTAACGCAATTAATAAGCTGTCCACGTATACATCTCGATTTGTCAGTATGCTTAAAAGATCAATAAAGCGTAGTTATTCTCCAAATGTATACGGATATGAATCTGTTGACACATTGACTACTGATTCAGATGGATTTTATTTTGGTCGAGTATTGATGTGTGTACGCAGAAAGAACAGTAATAATTTGGATTTGAAACTTTTTGAGGTAAGTAAAAGTTAAAAATACTTGAATCTTTTTTCTGTGTGTGTGTGTGTGTGTGTTACTTATCTTTTATGGTCGATGACTAAATTTCACTTTGAAGATGATCATCGTTAGGTGTAAGAAGTGTAATCCAATCACCAAATGACCTTGAATAACCAATCAGAATAGTCAAATGATGAAAAGACGGACAGTATATCATATCCGTTTCGGGGTATCTTTTCCTGTTATAACCGTATCTCTTTTCACGAGTTGATCACGGATTGATGTCAGTTAGAGAACCCTTGAAAACCAGGGAGTACTGGACAGCTGCTGTTTCATCCTAGTTTGGGAATCATCGGCAGTACGCACCCACTGGGATTCGAACCCGGGACCTTCCGGTTACAAGGCAAGTTCGTATACTATTCAGCCACTGGGACCCGATTCAATGGCCAACGCATGAATTCTAACTTCTACCGATTCGTGATTTAGTGGTATACGAACTTGCCTTGTGACCGAAAGGTCCTAGGTTCGAACCCCAGTGGGTGCGTACTGCCGATGATTCTCAAACTAGGATGAAACAGCTGCCCAGTACTCCCTGGTTTTCAATGGTTCTTTAACTGATATCAATCCGTGATCAACTCGTAAAGACAAAACTAATCCTTACAGACCAACTATAGAAAGGACTTAACTCTTTTACTTAATACTAACTAACCTAGCCCTAAAGTCAATCATAACTGAAAAGAATCCCAACGTAAATAAGAGTGTAGAGTTCATCAACAATTTCCATATTGTGACAGAACAACGATGTCATTGGTTGTTTACGCTTGTTTAAATAGTCGTTTGTTTTCGTTGGTATTCATTATGGTTACCTCGTTACTTTTATCATCCTCATTTTTACATATTGACTGAACCGATTTGTTTCCATTTGTCCTATTGTTGGGTTAGTAACCCAATTTCAAGATAATATTTTTACACGAAAGTGATGTAGTAGTAGTAGTAGTAGTAGCAGTAGTGACTACGAAACAATTCATGTGGGAATATCAGTTTTCATGGATAATCCCCATCCAGGCATTAATGAAAACAAAACACGTAGATCAGCGAAGAGTCTCTTTTCGCCAGCGAATTCATTTTCTTAGCTGTACAATCGCAAATATATGTGTTATTTTGTAGGTATATGTGTACATTAAGTTTGTCAAACAAAATTACCATTGGTTATGGTTGTTTTAACTAAACAGGTGAAGATTAGTAATTGGAGTTACGTCATACAAAATGAGTCAGGAAAATTAGGTGTTAAAAAAAGTTACGTAATAATATGAATAGTGTGATGAGTGAGTTTTACTCGGGATGCACATAGAAACAAAGTAGATAATACGAAATTACGTAAGAGTTCTAAATGAATACAAGAATTATAAGCAATTAAAGAACAGGCAAACAAACAAAATTAAGTCATCAAAATAAAAAAAGTCAAATCATAAAAGTTGTTACTATGACAATAGAAGTGGTTGAGCGATTCTCTTTTGTTTGCACAGCTCTGGTTTTACCATGTGAATGGCCAGAGCTTCAGCGATACAAAGGAGACGAAACCGTATTGCCTTTGATAGGTTATTCTTGACTATTTAGATTACTTTGAAGCAGGAGGCGTTTGTTGAGATGGAATGATCAGTGTTAACCAGGTGTTCAATTATCGCACTCCTTATTGCACCATTATTGCCTTTTCGCAACCATGCTGGCTGGATAGTGTTCTCAAATCCACCCTGTCCAAGAGGATTCAGGAACACTATTCAGCCAGCATGGTTGCGAAAAGGCAATAATGGTAATAATAGACACATCGAGATAGACTAAATTTATCAACCAATAAGAATGGAACTTCACACACAAAGGGTCAAAGTTCAAATCAAAGAAACAGTCAGTTCCAATACAAGTAACCTAGAAGATGTGAAAACACACATAAACAACCAATCACGTCCAAGGTCACCAGGAGAGATGATTAATAAACTCGTGGAGAAATCTAAAAGCTCACTTCAAATTGGAGTATGCGCTGAAGATGTCACCCAGTAGGGTGGTGAAAGCTTCGCAAATTAACCATCCAGCTCAGAGAACAAAACCACATCAAAAACTATAACCATCCGATCAACGACACTGAGACAGGCACAAAAGCCAGACTGGGGAAAACGGCAGCCTGTATTAGTAGACAAAATACACGGTATATTAAACCCTCAGATATCTAAGCCATAAATAGACGAATCAAAACTGTCTTGAATCAGATTATCATGTCAGTACGCATGCATAAATCATAAATCAATCACGGTTAACAAAGAATCTTGTTCCTCCTGAAACCTCCTTTTTATTGGTTCTCAGTTAAGGGACCACTGCAAGATAGTTTGTAGGTCTGTGTATCCTCCGTCTGTTATACTTAATACTAACTTTTTTATCCATCAGGCCCGTGTATGGGAAAATGTTCGAACCTTTAGTAATCCTGTATTTCACAACTTCTAGGTACAAAATATATAGATGCATAATTCCACACAAACAGGATAATTCAGTTAATAAGATTTTAACTTCACATCGATTAAATTAACCTCGGAATATGTTGTTTACAACAAACCAGTGTCTACTGAAGCTTGATAATTTTGATTGATGAGGGATTTATTCGATGAAAAAAAAACTAGATCAAAACATAGCCCTAGTGAATCTGAAAGATGACACAAGTCACTGAGATTTTAAGTTAGTAGTGTAGTTCAAAACAGATCGTACTGACTAAGACATATTCAAATCTCTCAAGATGTCACTAATCTTTACTTATTTATGCCTTCCGCCTTCGGGTATGCAATGCTTTGGTGCGGGCTGCCCTGCTCTACGCCTGTGAAACCTGGCCTCTCCGAGCTGAGGATGTGCGGCGACTCTGCGTGTTCGATCACCACTGTCTCCACAGGATTTTCTTGCGTTCGATGGTATCATCGCGTGAGTAATTCTGAGGTTCGGTGGCGTGTGTTTGAACACAATGGAGATCACCATTCATTGAGTGTCGTCATCTGGGAACACCGGCTCCGGTGGCTTTGGACATGTGCTCCGAATGTCACCCCAAAGGCTTCCGTACAGGTCTCTGTTCGCTAGCCCTGGGACGGGATGGAAAAGGCGGAGAGGTGGTCAGTCCATGACGTGGCGTCGTGGGATGAAGGATTTTTGTGCTAGATTAGCATCGGTTGGTGTGTCACGACTCCCTGGTTGGGGTCCGAGAGATAGCTGAAATCGATGGCTCGAAACGTTATCGGATATGGCTAAGGATCGTAATCAATGGCGAACGTGTTGCAATTTCCTTCTTTCTTCCCTTCCCGATGATAGTTAACGAACACTGAACTAGTTGTGCATGGCTGTCTTCCTTCCAGATGAAGTTCTTTATCCGTTCTCTACTTATATATATTTTTTCTTTTCCTTCTTTCTTTTCTTTTGATCTATGTTGTTTTATTATTATTGTGTGGCGCATCCTTCTTGGTGCCATATTGTACCAAGTTTTTTATGCGTTTAAATAAATAAATAAAATAAATACTTCCGCCTTCGTTATCTTTAACTACAAACATTTTCATAACCTTCAGGTTGTCTAAACAAACTTCCCTCCCTTTCCCGAGTCCCTTCAACATTACCAACAATCAGACTTTATGATACCTCTGTCAAGTTGAACCACCCGTAATATTTGAAAGACAATATTGATAGGAATAGCCATAAACACTGTTATCCTGCTTGTTTGTCTGGAATTTTGTTCTGAAAAATCACGTACAACAGGTGGATCAACTTTGATCAGTTAGTTTAACTTGCTTCAATAAGACATCAACTATTCATAAAGCAGTAAATAGTTGAATTATCTGGTGTTGTTATAGTTTTAATGAGCACAAATTATTGACAGGCATTAATTCTAACTGAAAAAGCTGAATTTCACTTCACGTATTAAATGTCACCACTGTACAGGCATATAAGTAAGAAAACTATTTAAACACATTGTAATTGATTGATGAAAATTTAAGAAGTACTACTGTTGTACAAAGAAGGATAGCTCAGGTATTAAAACCGCCTTATTTAAGTCAAGAATCTATTTGATGATTAGGCTGTTGATGTGTTGTTACATCTGAGTATTTTAAAAGTCAAATGTAAAAAAAAGAAATAAGGTAGACCTTTTTTAAAGCATTGAACCAAAAGGTCAGTTAAGGTCAAGTAAGCAAGAGGTCTAGAAATAACGCGAGAAACTTGAGCGTTGTATTGATTACAATTTGTACATCCCTGTGTGTAGCCTACAAACTTTTGTTAAATGATTCGTGAAATAATTGTTGGGTAACGATATCAAAGGAATTATTAGATGTAAACAAGATGTCCTGGACACAATTTTCACCCTTACAAGTACTTTTGAGTAGGATATCCCCTCAAATATAAGGAGTTTCATGTTCTCCTTGAGCTAATACCGAATTAATAAGACCCGCCTTGTTTCGCGGGCTATCTGAAAGTAGAAAATTTCATACAAAAATATATGTTTGGTGATAGAACGCAGGAGACTTGGTAGGGGAACGATTATTTGGAACTTGATATACAAAGCACTCACCACACTATAATTTATTTATATATAATTTCAGTTGCTATTCTATTTTGAAAATTTATCATTTTTTTCGCTTCCCTTATTGCTTCTATTTTCTCCTTTAGAACGTTCCCGTGACAGGTATTATACGCAATTCAAATTTCGCCAATAATCTATTATATCTTCTACCGAATTTACGTACAATTCCATTGAGTAAAAGTGCACGTTTTGTAATTCTAATGAGTACAGCTACTGCCGCTGGTTGTTTAGGCGTTATTAGTCCAATTGCTTGGTTGTTTGATTTAAATCCTGATCTAGTATTAGCATGGTCTATGGCTGTAACCGCTAGCGCTGGAGCTACTCTATGTCTGGTATGGGCGCGTTATTGGCGTGCACAAACTAATTTAGCCAATAATCTGAAGTATATGGTAAATCTCATAGTCATCTAACTGGTTTATGCTTATTCTTTATTTGTTTTTCACTACTGATTTTCCTCTATTTATTTATTTATTTGAGGAACTCTGAAGAAGTTTGTTCTACAATGTATTGTTATTTTAACTTGTAGGTAAAGTAGCATAGTAGTATTATCCGCGGTGCACATTTAAGTCAAATGTTACCCCTAACTATTGCACCGATGGTTAGGGGATAGAACATTCACCAATCATCCACGCGGCCGACGTACTCCTAAGCCTCGCCTAGTCTAATAGCTGGTAGTAAACTTGGAAAAGAGGCTAGCTGTTCCACACCGTATAAAAACAACAGTTCCGCTGCCACTAAGTATTTAAGACTTTTGAAGCCTTATTTTTCACTCCTAGGCGCAAAAGAATTGAATTAATTAGAGTTATCTTTGACCTATTATCGTCATTATTACTTTTATTATTGGCACACTACTAAATAAATAAAGATCATCTAAGCATTATCCGAAGGAAATGGAGACGGATGTGATACACGCTGAAGTGACTGTCAAGTGACCAACATCACGTGCCAGGCCCTAAAGTGGAACCTGAGTGGGAAACAACTAGTTGGTCGTCCGAGGATGGCTTGGAGCAGATCATGTGAGGTAGGGGTGAAAGCTTATGATTAATCGTGGAGTCAGAGAACATGATGAAATGGAGATGTGTTGTTAAAGCCATTTGTTCCGCTGTGCAAACCCATGGGAATAATAATAATAATACAGTTAAACATCTTACATTTTACAAAAGGCATACAATATAGGAAAGCATATAAGATGTACCATATTTTCTGATTATTTAGAAGAAACCGATAGTGTTTGAATTTATATGAAAAAGTATTCATAAGATGAAGTTTATTATTGGCTATATATTTTTCTGCTCCACTATTAGTGCACTTTTGAAAGAAACGGAGAAATCAGTTAATCCCTAAATATATTTGGTTATGTCACCATGTTCATCTTGTAGTAAGGAGGTCAGTAATATACCTGTTGCATACATTTCAGCCCTGGAGATTGGCTAGCTTCATCAGCCCTTCGCAATAATCATGGCTCACAGCGGCCCAATGACTGAGTCTTCATCATATATATATATATACATGTACCGCCATTCCACACACTCCACCTGTGTATCACTTTTCTGTTCACCGCCTAAACTTATTTGATCATAGGAAGAATATATTTGGCAAAAGCACATAGTGGTGGTACAGTATTATTTATTGATGACGTTTCGAGCGCATTGTATTGCTCATAATTATATCAAAGCACTCACACAACTTTCGAACTTCTTAATTCTTATCGTTTGATTTTATTGGTAGTAATATTTTCTATATCTTCGGTATCGGCGTTGAGTCATTTCTACTGCACGTGTCAGGTATACATTCGATGACCACCCCCCCCCGCCAATAAGCTGTGTGTCACTTCTTAGAACTGCAGCTACGCCCCACCCACCCTATTGTGTGATTGTGTGCTAATGCATGCATTGTGACTGCTGAGTTTTTCTCTGAACTATTCACATTTTTGTGATGTGAATCATTCTACACTTAGCTAAATTCTTATTTTCCATTAATCCGACTACCCTCGATCTACTAGTCTGTAATCTTTGTAGTTGAACTCACAAACAATAGAGTGGGACAGAACTACATTTCTAAAAAGTAGTGTAGATAGGTGGAAGGAGAGGTTTGGCCAACAAACTGTGCTCAAAACGTCATCAATAAGTAATGTTATATCACTGTGTCCCCTTTATCAAATAAATTTAGTCTTCGGTGGAATTATATTCTACCACAGTGCCCGAGTTCTGTTCTTATTTAGATTTATGTGTTTTGTTGGAATTTGGATTAATTTTATCACAGAGATCATTGAAAACTAGAGAGCACTAGACATGTGCTGCTTCGTGCTATTTCGTGACTTGTGACGAAAATTTAACGGCTGGAAGTAATCCGAATCCCCATAAATTCCATAATCTAAATACCAGGCACCAGTTCCATTGATGGGCACTACATGGATGTCCTGAAACTATATTGAGATATTATGACCAGTGGGGTCAACGACCAACATGTCAAAGTGAAATGGATTCTCATTGTTAAGGAAGGCATGGGTGAGGGAAGTGCTGTGTCAAGAATTGAGAAAGTTAGAATTCACGGGCCCAAGTGGCTGAGATAGTCAACCTGCCAGATCTCGTAACCTGATAGTCCGAGGCTCGATCCCTGATGGAGTCGTGGGTGGGGTGAACGCTGATGAAGCGTCCCGAAATAGAACGAAACAGATGTCCAGTCCTCCCTGGCTTTCAATGGTCTTTCTAACTGATGTTGTTTCTTGACGAAAATCTAATAATTCTGTTTTTTTGGTTACATGATTTCATCATGAGCTGACATTAGTTAGAGAACCATTGGAAAACCTGGGAGTACTGGACAACTGTTTCGTCCCAGTTTGGTACTCTTCAGCAGTATGCACCCACTGGGATCCGAACCCAGGACCTTCGGGCTACAAGGCGAGCTCGTATACCATTAAGCCACTGGGACCCGGTTCAATAGAGCATGAATTCTAACTTCTGCCAATTCACAACGTAGCGTTACCCCTAGCTAATGTCTTTGGCAAGTATTTGTCCTCACACTCGATGTGCTGCACACTACTGATCACGACTTCTCACTAGAACCCCAGGTAACTACCTACCTGAATAGGGTCAGTCGCCAGTGAGCATCTCATTGATATACAAGTATTGGTTTGTATTGATTTGGTTGATTGGTTACATGATTTCATCATGAGCTGACATTAGTTAGAGAACCATTGGAAAACCTGGGAGTACTGGACAGCTGTTTCGCCCTAGTTTGGGACTCTTCATCAGTACAAACCAATACTTGAATTCTGTTTTTTTTTAAATCAATAAACGTATTTTATTGAATCTCTCTAAATGCAACTTATTTCTATTTGCATTTAATTCATAAAAAAGGATTTGAAAAGAAAATGAGGTGACATCAGTCATTTACTCAAAGTATTTCTTTTCTATTCTTTTCTAAAATGTTTTATGTAGCAATATCTGTGCTGTCAAAGCTCCGGCTTACAATCGATTAATATTTTATTGAAATTGGCACATGAACAAGAATTCAAAGCAGCTTTACTCACATATGCCTTACTGCTTAGACCTACTGAAAGTAAGTAGAACTGAGAATATATATGTATATAAGTTGTCTTATTCAAATATCATTCCTATTGTAAGTCTAGATTATTTAAAGAACATGATGCACTACGCAACATTTAAGTAGAAAAAGCATGGATGTTTTTTTGGTGTGGTTGCCTCCACTGAGCTGGATGGTTTGACAGTAAAGCCTTCTTCTTCTAGACAACACTTTCAGCGTTCACTTTAATGTGAAATCAGTTTTTGGAGTTCTCCGTGACCGATATAGCTGTGTTTCCCGACAACCTTGATTTTGGGTTGGTTATCTTTAAAAGATTTCCTTATTTCATACATTTATTCCCCTTAATGAATTTGAACAAAGCAAGAACTACAGTTTTAGCAGAATAAAAGATGGTACCATTTTATTCTGCTAAAACTGTAGTTCTTGCTTTGTTCGATTTCCTTATTCTTGTGTTAGTTGGCGTCAGTATCGATTGTTACGTTTACCTGGTGTTTGGCGTTTCAGTCACCTGACTTGTTCTTTATTGACTGGCGAGTTTGATTAACAAGAGATGGTTTCCAGTAATTTGATTGATTTTAATTTCGAGCGCGAACTGACTTCAATTGGAAAAGTGATAAAATTCACGAAGTGATGGACAGCGGTTTTCACCCTGTTTAGAACTCCTCATAAACATGAAATTTCAGCGCTACCTTGACTCGCTTTTCTATTGTGACGCTACATTCACTCAGTTATATAAAGCTCTTATTTCTGTGGAGTTTTTTGCCAAAAAGTTGTGGAACTTATTGTAATTATTTGCCTTTCGAACGTTGAATCTGTGGATGTAATCTTGTTGACCGATAATATCTATAACTATCTGTTTGCCATTTTGTGACCGTCTAACACTAATTAATACCTATAACTGTACATATTGATGGATTTACATGTCTAAGTCGGCTCAAGTCAGTGAGTCTGTGATTCTGGTATCGTTTTTGTCAACTGTATCTGACTGTGATGCAGACTGGCGCAGATGTTTCGACTCCCTGTGACTTATGATTTCCAATGAAACTATATTGCTCTTCGTTATTACTATTCTTTTGTCTCACACCTCTGTTTACTGTCTCTATTATGCATTTCTTCTACTTTCTTCTCTTTTTTTGTGTTACATGGAGTGTGGCGACTTGCACTGCCGCACATATGTGCAAAGTTCTATGTCGAAAACAGACAGACAGACAGTGATAATACTGCTAAGGTTATTTTTTATTGTTGTTGTCGCTGCCATTCCTGTTGTGAATTATTTTCCGTTTGCTGGTGTTTTTTCTGATTGCTTTATTCCTTGTCGTCCTGATTGTAAGGGGAGCAATCCAAAAGGTCACTCCTCTCTAAACTATATTTAAATGTAACAACCCCCTTCTCAGGCGTGATGAGGCTGGCAACCCCACCCTGTACACAAAGTTGCTACAGAAACTTCAACACGATGAATCTCCTTGCGCCAAAAGAAAAAGTCTTTGTGGGGACATGGAACGTCCGCACCATGTACAAGATTGGCAAAGCTGCCCAGATTGCAAACGAGGTGAAAAGATACGGAATTCAAGTGCTGGGAATATGTGACAGCTGATGGAATGGGAATGGATTCACCAAATTTTCGACGGGAGAGTCAGTGATCTACTCCGGTTACCCAGAAGACAACCACATGCACACTGAGGGTGTGGCTATCATGATGTCACCAACGGCGATGTAGGCCCTAATGCAATGGGAGGCGATCCCGCCCAGGATAATAATGACGGCCGGATTCATCTCCGAGGAAACCAGCAAGTGACATCACTAGAAAGCCCTCGAGTGTAAACCGAAAGGGAAGTGGCGAGTTGGTCACCCACGGGTGACTTGGAAGAGGTCTTGTGAAGAGTAGATAAAAGCATGTGGGGCAGACGTGGAGGCAGGTGAAAACTTATAAGAGAACCGCACGCAATGGGGACGTGCAGCTGAAGCCCTATGTTTCTCTAGGAATCAGAGAAAGCACTAACACGAGAGAGCCAGGCAGGCTTTAGACCAGGAAGAGGGTGTATTGATCATATCTTCACCCTCCGACAGATTCTAGAACATAGGCATTCCTACCGGCGTCCAACAGTCATTATATTTCTTGACCTAAAGGCAGCATTCGACTCTGTCGATCGGGAAGTTCTCTGGAGATGCTTGGCTGTAAAGGGAATTCCAAGAAAATATATTGCACTGATTAAGGCACTCTACTCGTACTCATACAGCCAGGTGAGGGCTTACGGCGAGCTGTCATCTGAACTGATGACGACCAGTGGTGTCCGTCAAGGATGCCCATTATCTCCTTTTCTATTCAACTTCATCATAGATGTGTTAATGGACTTAACCCTAGGTGAATTCAGCGACTTAGGGATTGACTTGCTACCGGGGAATAATCTCGTAGACTTGGAATATGCAGACGATATAGTCCTTCTAGGCGAAGACGCTGACGAAATGCAGAGTCTTCTAAACACCTTGAGCTGCAATCTACGAATGTTTGGCATGCGATTCGCTCCCGCCAAATGCAAGATGATGTTACAGGACTGGACTACATCGACGCCTAGTTTAAAAATAGGAAGTGAAGTGGTAGAGCACGTTGACCGCTTCACTTATTTGGGAAGTACCATCAGCCCCAACGGGCTGATCTCTGACGAAATCTCAGCACGAATACAAGGGGCTCGTTTCGCATTTGTTAGTTTACGCCGACTCTGGCGTAGACGAGATGTTCGACTATCGACCAAAGGGCGGGTGTACTGCTCATCAGTCCGCTCCGTCCTCCTTTATGGTTGTGAGACCTGGCCACTGAGAGTGGAAGACATGAAAAGACTAGCTGTCTTTGATCATATGTGCCTGCGTTCTATCTCCCGTGTGAAGTGGTATAATGAGGTGAGCAATATTGAGGTTAGGCGTCGAGTTCTAGGTAAACAGAGGAAATCAATCGACGGAGTTGTGAAGCTACAAAGACTGAGATGGTTAGGACATGTGTTACGTATGCCAAGCCATCGCCTCCCTCGACGAGCTATGTTAGCGGATATAGGGTCAGGCTGGAAAAAAGCTAGCGGCGGTCAAACAAAAACATGGCACCAGTCAATGAAATCCACAACAGTTGGTCTAAGCCACGTAGGAAGGTGTAGACTTCCAGGCTGGGGTCCTCGGGACGGTAAAAATCTGTGGTTGGAAACAATTGGTGACATGGCTCAAAACCGTTCTCAGTGGCGCAGATGCATCCACTCCCTGTGACTTATGATCTTCAATGAAACTGTTTTGTATTTCTTTATTACTCCTTTGTCTCACACCTCTGCTCACTGTTTCTATTATGCTTTTCTTGTACTTTCTTCTCTTGCTTCGCGTGCTACACGGAATGTGGCGACTTGAACTTCCGCACATTTGTGCAAAGTTCTATGTCGAAAACAGACAGGAATCAGAGGAAATAATAATAATAAAATTCTTCTTCCCCCTGATCCCACTAGGGGACGAATTAACAACCTTCAGGTTTCTAGACGAGCTCATTGACAATTCAACCACTGAGACACAACCCAATGGCCCATCAACTCTAACTTCTATTAATATGCAGTATTTCTAGCCCTACCGCCAGCTCACTAGTGACTAACTACATGATAAAGTTGCCTGAATTTCCAGTAAGCAATCATGACCAGTGTGACGATGAACACTCGCCAATCATATTGGTTGGCGGTAGCGTTAGATATTGTGAATTAGCAGAAGTCAGTATTAATCCGCCATTGCATTCCGCTCCAGCGGCTTACCTTGTAACCTGAAAATCCTCGGTTCTATCCGTGAAGAGGTATTAATGAGGAGTTGCAATCAAATATGAAACAACTCTCCAGTATGAAGATTTCTTTCAGGAAGTTTAGTTCTTCTTCCATGGTGTCGGAGCTGCAGTACTCTTTGACCTGCACCAACTGTGTAACTAAAGTCATTTCGTGATCAAATCCGCATAATTTCTAAACGAAGTTGATGTCTCAAGTCAATAATATACCATCAGCTCATGGAAAATGAAACAGTGAAACACGTCAAGTTCCTTAGGGTATACTCTATGGCTAAACTATAGCGAGATGTTTTCTGACTGCCTTCATCATCTGACTTAGTGTGATACTAATCGCTTGAGTACATGTCTTCCTAAAACCTACAATACGAAGTGAGTATCAAATCGTTGAGCATTGTATGCAGCCTAAAAAGTTCATACTGTAACGATAGATAGAGGAAAAACCTAGTTAAGAAATTTTTCATTCTCAATTTATTATTATTATTATTATTATTATTATTATTATTGTATCCTTTAGTTCCTAGAGGAACATAGGGCTTCAGCTGCGCACCTCCATTGCCTTCTGTTTTCTGACAACTTTTTCACCCCGCTCCAGGTCTGTCCACATGCTTTCATCTCCTCCTCGCATGACCTCCTCCAAGTCACTCTTGGACGACCAACTCGCCGCCTCCCTTTCGGGTTCCAAATTATGTACACCTAATCTCCAACCCACCATTTACACAGATCTTCCGTTTTATGCTACTTCCAGTCTTCATATTGTGTCTCTTTCACGTCTCCCATGTATCTCCACAACGCTGTATCATTAACTCTCTCTCTCTCTCTGACATCAAATCTATCTCCCTGCCATTTGATGTTTTACGCCGACGAACGTCTATTTATCTATTTATATGGAAATTATTTGTCTAAATATATACTACTACTAATTTGACAGTAGCAAAACTCACTTTGAGAACTAGCATAAAATATTTGTGAGTTTAAAAAGCAAAAGAGTTCAGAGGAGAAATATTCAATTTACAACAAGATCCTCATCTCAGGCTCCACCCCAATACTTCCATATAGCATTTTTTTCGATAAAATACACAACATTTTATCAGTCTAGTGGCGATCTGTTTGTTAACAAAAATTAGTCACCATCAACATGTCAACGGGATGGGAATTAACGAGGAAAATTATAACACACAAATGGTTACAACAAGGGGATTGATTCCATAATGCATAGTTT